CCGATGGCCCGATTTAAAGGTTAGTTCGGTTCTAGTGGTTCGGTTAGGTTCCGCTTACCAGCTTAGAGCCTAACCGGATATATACATTTATCATTATCGTTATATTTTTCATAGTTTTAATGCTTTAATTTTTTAATAATCGAATAATTTTATTAATAAAAAAAATGAGCGAAAAAGAGGGCAATAAAGTGGCTCCTAAATCTACCTTAGAAACAGATTTCTCTGGTGCCGGTCGATCTGGAACAGTTTCTCCAAAATCTATTAAAAATCCGTCTAATCTGTCACAAGCTCCTCGTCGATTTTCTTCTTCTTCAACTCGCAGCTATGATACCAACGATTATTATTCGACTTCTCCTGTAAATCAGCGAGTGTCTTCGGCAATGTCTTTGTACGGCCGAGGTTATAATCGAAGCCTTACTCGTAGAATTTCATTAAATTCTTCAATATCTAATTTCAGTACAATGTCCGAAACATCTTTACCATGGACTACTAAGGTAATCATAATATTTCTTTTTCTTTTATAAAGTAATAATGCTCATTAATTTTTTAGGTAATTTTAATCGCTATACTTTTTTTCCTTTTAGCAATTATCAAAAACTTAATCTTATTCATTAAATTTTTTCTTTCCTTTTTTTTACCGTTCAATTTAATTGACATCATCAAAAAGGACATCGGGTTCAACGGTATTCTATAAACTGTCGGAGTAATTCATATAATTTTCCCGATATTGAATGTATGATCTGATTTTTGATAAAATGTTATGTAGCGATTTCTGGTGTACTAAATGATCCAAATGCGAAAGCCTCAAATACTGCCAGACCTACAAAGAACGACATTCCATCAGTACCTCAAACTGTCATAAAAAAAGTAAAACCTACCGATTTCAATAGCTACCTTAAACAAATTACTCCGCTATTTGAGAGGTACAGTCATAACAAAGAATGTGGAGTAGAAAACTCTCACTCTATTAGGAAATCAACTTCTTCTTTTGAATCTGTTGCTTCCACTACAAAGATCTTGACAAATCTTGAGAATTTGCAAACCGATAATTCTGAAATTCCTGTACATCGACTAGAGAGTTCAAGAAATCCTTATTCCGTGCGTATGCCTCCTTATTCTCTTGATGACGATCGACCCATAGAACCTGTAATTGATCTTCCATTACTAGAAACTGTCCCTTCA